AATATTTTAAATATAGATTTTCATAATTTTTCCTCTCTCTTTATGTATATATATAACATTTTAAAAAAGTAATTCAAAATAAATATTTATAAATATTTATCTAATAACTTACTAATATTGTATGCTGTCTGGGTTAATACTTTTAATCTTAACAGTACTTTGCGTAAGTATTTCATCACTTAGCAAAGTATTATATATTAGTATTTAAATATTGACAATGTTCTGCGTAAGTATTTTATCACTGGACGAAGTATTACATATCAATGTAATCAATATTGAAATCAATCATAAGATAGGATTTGTAACATTAAATATTGAATATTTAAGGATTTGTAACATTAAATATTGAAATACTTGAGTACTAAAAGCTGTATTTGAATCACAGAATATTACTAAATACTGTACTTTTAATATTGAAAGTAAGTAATTAATCAATGATTCTTAGTATGATATTTTTATAAGGGAATAATCGACAAAATTAAATTCCGAAATTTTATCGAAAATTCTCTTTTAATGGTCAATATATTATGGATGGATTCTAAAACATTAGAATTTACTCAAAATAGGAGACGTCTAAATTGCCATTTTTGTAGACGCGCATTTAGACTAGACGTAACTTAGACTTCTCCGACGTCAGTTAGACGTCGAATCGACGTCTGCGTTCTCGCTGGGAACCATTTTGCAAATAATCATATAGATTTTTAATTATTAATTAAAGAAGATAAGTGCATTATCACGCAAATCGTGATAATCTTGTTTAATTAATAATTAAAAATCTGTGATTATTTGGAAAATGGTAGAGAACTTTTTTGTCAATTTTACCTAAAGTATAAGTACACGACGGCAGTCGTCGCTACTATAACTCATTTACCATATTCTGCATGATCATTCACAAATTTTCTACAATTAATATCTCGATAATTATTGCGAATATCGCAAAACGGTATAGGATTTTTATGTTCACCGCAACCTGTTCTACGTTCCCACAAAATGCCCGGAGGAGAGTGTGAGACACCC